ACCTCACTATCTCCACTAAAGCCCTTCATCTCATGTAATTTCAACTTGTGGACATGGAGGCTGAATGGATCAGGGTTCCCCAGATCAGCGGCCCCTCACAATACATTGGTTGTAGTTTGGAAGAATAAATTGGAGAACATTGAGCGAATTGTGTGTAACAAGGTATATGCGGGAAGGATGGTATTTTGACTAGCTGTAAAATTTTGGTGTGGTATTTTAGGATGCAACAGCAAATATACACTTAGAAAGAGACTCAATCTCAATGCTCAAAATAGTAGCTCAAATCTGAGACTTTCCGAGGTAGGTGTTTATCTTATATCCAGGAAATATAGAAATACCTTGCTTTTCAGGGCTATCACTTCCCCCAAAGAGCTCCCTTGAGAAGAGTTTGCAGTTTGAAAGACTTTAGCTTGGGGTGAGGTTGAGAAATGTGGAGATCCTTTAAGCTTGGTAAATGGGTCTAGCTCTACTTGAGCTTTGCTGAAGGGTTTCTCCACAAGAGTACTAATGGAAGTCAGCACCACTGGCCTAATGAGATGTACTCCTTCATGAATCTGATTCATTGAGGCAAAAATTCTCATAATTGATTATCCCGCTGAGTAGCTGAGAGCAGTGTTTGCTAATAGTGAGACTGAGAATCAGCTCCATTTTCCTCAACATGAGACAAGCTTCCTCCTGACTGACTGAGCATGCTCAGTGTTATGTCCTCAGTGGGGAAGAAATGGATGGACCACAGGCATCTTTCCTTGTCAACCCCTCCTCAAAATAGGGTAAGTTTGTGTTAGGGTGGGGAATATGGCAGCAAAGGATGCAGACTTGGGAAGGAAAAAGGAAGAGTCAATTACCATCTCCAAATATGCAAAGTATGTTCAGATTCCATCTCATGTCTCCCTTTGTTCCTACTTGGATGGGCAACTCAGCTATGTGCTCACACAATCTCTCAATGATGTGTGCTATTCCACAAAAGATGATGTTTCTTCAAATTGCAACACGATGCTTCCCTCTTTTCTCTACAGAGGTGGGGAAATGTGGTGTGTGGAGCACTATATATGTCATAAGACTCCATGTTTTGCCTAGTTTTGCTGAACTTTTCCTTTTTCTACCTTTTTAAATGATTTGTTTCAAGGGGTGAGTCATTGGGTAGAAGTGGGGAGAGAGATATATTCAAAATAAAATTAATGTAAAAACAAAATATATCAATCAAAATTTTGTTGTTGTTGTTGTTTAGTTATAGTGATTAAATTAAATTAGCCCTTAAGAAGCTGTCACCTCCAGATTGTAAGCTCCATGAGAGCAGGCCTCAATGTCTTCATTTTTGTATCTCCTTATCACCTATCACAGTATCCTACATATAATTTTTTGAGTTGAATTAAATGTAACCATCAAGTACATCTGATACCAGGACAGTCTAAAAAGAATGATTGTGGGGTCTCCATTTTGAAGATTTTAGAAAAATAGGATAAATGTCCACTATGGGGGTGGGGGAGCCACAGGTTTGGATTTGGACTCCTAGAGAGACAAGAAGCTAGACCAAAAAGACCTCCTGAGATTCTTTCTAATTCCATGAGTCTTTGAAACACTTGAAGATCTGTGGGATTGAGATATTTAGCATTCTTTGAGTTTCCTTACTTTGGACTGAGAAGAACTGGGTTTTTGCAGCTGGATTACCAAAATGTTTGCTTTGAACAAATATCATAATAAATATATCCTTAGCCCTTAGGGACCCTTGAGAGCATCCAAGGGAAAGTAAGAGGCACTGAAAGGAGGCAGGGAAAACTTTGACAGAAAACAGTTGAAGAAGCTTCTCTGGCTATTTGCCACTTTTGCCCAAAGTAAGGATGAAATCAGATTCAACAGTCCATTATAGTTTGTGTGTCCTTCTCATTGGAAAGATATAATTCGGTATACAGGGAAAGTAAAAGAAAGGCTAGATAGAAAATTAGAGGAATGTAGGAGCACAGGACTTATGTGTATAAGGTGGAAAGGAGCAGATGAAAGCCCTGGGTTTAGGAAGCAGGATCCCAGTTGTTTAGAGCTGTAAGGCACGTTGTTGTTGTTCATTCATGTTCAACTCTTTGTGACTCTGTGGACCATAGCACTTCAGGCCCTTCTATCCTCCACTGTCTCCCAAAGTCTAGCCAAGCTCATGCTTATTGCTGGATCTATTTATAAGTGTTGTCTGCTCTTCCCCAGTAATGTGTTAGACACTTCCTGACCTGAGGGGCTCATAGCATCTTAGTACTGTACATGGGGTTTTCTTCGCAATGATACGAGAGTGGTTTGCCATTTCTTCTCCTATGGATAGCCTTTTGTCAGAACTCTCCACTATGAGTTGTCCATCTTAGGTGACACTTAGGTAGCCTCATAATTTCTTGCAGCTATGCAAGTCCCTTTGCATGACAAGGCAATAATCCAGGATGTTATAAGGCACCTTAGCAATCACCTATTTTAAGTCCCATGTCCCCCATCTTAGAGATAAAGAAAGAGATGAGAAACTATGCATCTAAAACCATAAGGATAATGATCAGAACTCCCATGTATACAACACCCTCAAGTAACAAGCCAGGATTTTAATCAAAGTCCTCTAACTTTGGATACTGAGTTCTAGCCACTGTACTATACTGCTTTCAGTACTATTAAAGAAACACATTGGGATAAAGAGTAAAAAGGGGACCAGAAATGAACTAATATTTGAATTTTTAATTGTGGGAACATTGGCCTATAGCTTCCTTCCGTGTTTACATGAAGAATATGATTCTTTAGACTGTATAATGAAAATAGTTCTGAATTTGAAATCAGAATACCTGGCTTTAAATCCTGAAAGTTACTTCATCCTTCTGAATCCCAGTTTCCCCACCTGTAAAATGAATATATGTATGTATAATATATAACTCAGAGGGTCGTTGCAGGGGAAATACTTTTTAAAAATAATATTTTATTATTTCCCCAACTACATATAAAAACAATTTTTACCATTCTTTTTTTTTAATTTTGTGTTTCAGATTTTTCCCTCCCCTACTTCCCCCTCCTTGAGACAATTAGTTTGATATAGGTTATACATGTCCAATCATTCAAAACATACTTCCAAATTAGTTATATTGTAAAAGAAGATATAGATAGAAAGAAAAAAATCATGAAAAAAAAAACAGTGAAAAATACTATGCTTCAATCTGCATTTAGACTCCATCAGTACTTTCTCTGGTGGTAGATAGCATTTTTCATCATGAAACCTTTGGAACTGTTTTGGATCTTTGTATTTCTGAGAATAGCTAAGTCATTCACAGCTAATCATAACATATTGCTGTTACTGTGTACAGTGTTCTCCTGGTTCTGCTCACTTCACTTTACTTCAGTTCATATAAGTCTTTGCAGATTTTTTCTGAAATCCTCCTGCTCATCATTTCTTATTGCACAATAGTACTTCATGTTCAGCCATTTCCCAATTGATGTTCATCCCCTCGATTTTCAGTTTCCACTTCTTTACCACTGTGAAGAGAGCTGTTATAAATACTTTTATACAAATAGATCCACCCCCTTTTTTTAGGAAAATCTCTTTGGGATACAGACATAGTAGCGGTATTGCTGGATCAAAGGGTATGGTACAGGTTTATGACCCTTTGTGTATAATTCCAAATTGCTTTCCAGAATGGTTGGATCAGTTCACAATGCCACCAACAATGCATTATCATCCCAATCTTCCCACATCCAAGGGAAAAACTTTTCGAAGCTTAAAGCCATATCTAAATGTGTCATCACTATTATTACCCTGAGCAACTCTATCTTTCAAAGCCTTAGGCAACTCACTAGGAATTATCTATTAATTTAATTCAGTAAGCATTTGTTAACTGCCTACTTAGAAATACAAAACCAAAAAAAAAAAAAACCACCACCACCAACAATCTAGAAACAATACCTACTATTGATTAGGCTTATATTTACTCTATTTTTTAATAGGGGAACATGTACAGAGAGGTAAATGTGGAGTATATACAAATTAGTTTCTAGTGGGATGGTAGTACCTGGAAAGGACTGTTTAGTAGTTTACACTTGCTCTGAGCAAGGGAGCTGGGGATTGTAAGAGTCTAAGGTAAGGAGGGAAAAACTTTCAAGCATCAGAGACTTCTTATGTGAAGACATGAACGTAGGAGATGAAATGTTAGGGAATAGCAACTAAGCCAGTTTGGCTGAGATATAGAGTGTGCAAGTAATGGACAAATGGCGAACTGCAGTGGTGGAAGCAATTTTTGCCTCAGTAGTTTCCCATAATGATGACATCATAGCTCCTTATCACATATGATTATTATTGTTATCATCTTAGCAAACTATAGATGCCCTTCAATTATTCATGCCACTGGTGTCAAGTGATAATACATGTAATTCAAGACAGTAGGTGTTTAAAAATCCTTCGTTTATATTTAGAGTTAATTGCATGATTTTTATAGGAAGAACAGTATAGTTTATCTAATAATGTTGTGTTTATTAACCTATATTAAAATTAGTTGGTATTCTACAAGCATACACTGACTAAGAGCCAGGGGAGTTAAGCCAGACATGTGTTGGGTGGCAGGAGGAATCCAGCTGGGGATTCAACATTTGCCATAAGCAGTCTGCAAAGTAGATCCTTGACATGTGGCTATCTTGTCATAGGCTGTACAGGTGAGAGACGAGAAACAAATGGGAATCCCTCGGACTCTGGGGAAAAGTAAAGCAAAACAAAGGAGCTCCCCCAGAGTTTGAAAGAAACTCAGAAATCTAGATAATTCCAAAATGATGTTTTCCTTTGTCTTTTTCTGTTAAGTAAAATGTCCACTTCAAGGCACAGTTGAAATCCTGATAGCAGCGAGTTTAACCCGGGCAGGTTTCCGAGAACTCCTAGGGAGATAATACCTCCTGTTCCAGACTTGACTAGGCAGTGATCAAATAGCATCTCCAGCAACTAAGTTCATCATTACAGCCATTGATTGTAATTCTTGCTTCCTTCTCTTTCTTTCTTTTCTTAGAGTCCAGAGTGCCCCAGGGGAAAATTGGCTGAATCAAAGGTATAAAGACTTTCTCTTTCGTTGTTTTTTGGAAGATTGTTTTTGACAGGTGTGATATCATACTTCTCTGAAAGCTACTGATAATGAATTCCTAGAGTTTCTGGGGTTTCCCATTCATTTCTGGGAGGAGAAGATTGGCAGCAGAGCAAGAAACCAGAAGAGATGGTATTTCTGAGTCTCTCCGTGAAATTTCTTCACTCTCCAGCTAGCTCTCACCTGAAATTTTCCAAGAAAGGCCAGGGTAACCCAAAGGGGCAGAGTTGGGGAGGTAAACAAGGAAGGAATTAAAGGCGTTCAGTTGAATCTGATATTATTCAGGAAATCCAGTTTTCCTTCATCAGCACTTATTGGTTCTCCCTCAGCTGTGCCCCACTCAATGAGTGACTGGTCTGTACTCAGAATGGTGTGTTTTCTGATCACATACAGATCCTAGTATTCAGGAAGCAAAAGGGCTGGTCCCGTCATTAACCATCAACAAAGTGCCAATTAATATAACCACTGAATTGACTACATTGTGGCTAAAATCTGGAGATAGGAATTGGCTAATAATAATAGCTGATATCTTATAGTACTTCAAGGGTTGCGAAGAATTTTACATAAATTATCTTATTTGAGCTTGACCTTTGAGGTAGGTGCTATTATTATTGTCTATTATTGTGCTATTATTTTTTTTACAAATGAGAAAATTGAGCCCTACAAAGTATAAATGGCTTACCTACAATGACACAGCTAGTGTCTAAGAGATAAGACTTGAACTTGTGTCTTCCTTACCCAAAGTCCAGCACAGTCTACTCCACTGTGCTACCTTGAAATGATCAGAAAGCTTTCAGTAAACTAGAGCTTTTAAGTTTTTCAACTCTCAATGACCCATACATAGGTGGTTGATCCACTCTATAAATGAGCTAATGTAAATGCTTGCCTCAAAGCCAGCTCCTTCTAGTTCAATACACTTCTAGATGGAATCTCCTTGCCATTAACCTAATGAAACCCAACAAGCATTTATTATATGCAAGATCCTATGCTAGGCACTGGGGATACAAATAAAACCATGTATATGTAGGGAATTCAAACTGCTTTTAGTCTAGCCCAAACAAAACATTAAAGTGCTAAAAGTGAAAGTGAAATGTGATGTAATCCTGAGCCAAGTTGAGGTTATTTTTGGTGATTTCTTTTGGATCAGCTATGTTATGGTTCCTTATTTTGTAATGGATCATTGAGGGTTGACTATGTATTTCCTAGAAGGCATTCCCATTTTAGCCATCCAGATAGTTTGTTGGGGTTACATTTGGGTGTTATAGTTTAATTTACATGTGAATATTTTCCATTAGAAATATTCCGTTTAAGAGACATCATGGTATAGTAAATAGAGGACTGACCTTGGAGGCAGGAAGACCTGGATTCAAGCTCTCTCTGAAGTTCAAGTTTTGATAACATAACAAATCCAATTGTTTTTACTTGTTAAAACTTGTGACTGCATTGGTGGATACCATTCTAGTTATATGTCCATAGGCAAGTCACTTGACCTCTCAATGTCTCCCCTAGAGGACTTTCTAAGATTATAAGTTATAGATCTACATTAATAAAAGGAGATGGTACAACAGAAATTCCCCACACTGATGTAGTTATAGGGCTGAACCGTTCTCCTCCTCCAATTTCTGGTCAACATTTTTATTAGTGATTTGGATGGAATTCTAGACAGCAGACTTTACCAGATCTGTGGATGGGCCAAAGCTAGAAATAAAGAAGAAAAGATTTCAACTAGCTAGATAATAGATTGACACTTTTCCCCCCAGAGCTCACACAGGCAGAACAATTGTTATTGAGTAGTAAATACTAATAAAGTCCAAATAGTATCCAAAATCATAATTTGAATTCCCCCATGACCTATCCCATTACCCCCCACCCCCAACTAAGACATGGATCTTAGGCAGTGAGGTAGAGTCAATTCATTCATGGTCATTTTGGAGGTGTGACTAGGGCAGGGTGTCTGGAGCTTTGTCTAGGATGTTTAATTTAAAGGACACTGCTGGCACTTACAGTCCTTCAGCAGCACAAAAATAATAGAGTAGAGCACCATGCTTTACCTTCACATCCCATTCAGCCATTCAGCTGTCCATATAAGTCATATTACTATGTGTCTGGCACTGCTGCCCTTCTCCTCCCAGACTAGTATCCTCCACAATGGACCTCTACACCCTTTGCCTCCAGATTCTTTTTTTCTAGTCTCTGGGAAAGTTAATCCACTCATTTTTATAGCTTCTGCACTGGGGCCCAAACCAATTGAGTGGTTATTGCATTCAAATTAAACCTTTAGTCCCCAGTAGCTACTGGTTGATAGTAGATAACAAACCATGTTTCATCTTCACATCCTATATGGCCATCTTACCATTTACCTGCCTCGACTGTTTTTTTCTCCACCTGGACCAGCACCCTCCGTACTGGACCTCTGAATGTGGACTTCTACAATGTTTCTTCCTGGCACTTTAGGAAGTTAACCCACATATTTTTGGAACTCCTACCCTTGTTCCCAACCCAGTAGATTGGTGTCTGAGTGAGTGTAAAATAGTCCAGTTACCAGACCATGCTGTATTTCTATACCCCATCCAGCCTTTCAATGATTCAATGACTGTCTACCTAAGCTATCTTATTATACCTCTGTGCATAACCCTCTCAGCCTTCCTCTCCTCCTCTTTCTTTCCACCTTTCTTTTCCTGCTCATCAATCTCATATGTAATGAGATGTTTCCGTGTTAGATTATAAGCTCCTCAAGGGCAAGACTCTTCATATTCCCTGTTTTCATTCATTCATTCATTCATTCATTCATATCGCCAGCACTTAGCACAGTGTCTAGCAAATGCTTAATAAATGCTTTTTCATTCACATGCATTCATTCATATAGTTATCATGATTGGCTTCACCCCTAAACTGAGAATGAGCTTCAAGTTGCTTGTCCCTGGACCAGTTTGCAAGACTTTGCCTGTAACAAAAATTCCTTCTTGTGCCTCTCATAATTTCTGATACTACATTTCTCACTCAGCAAAGTCACACAGGTGCTGGACGGTGGGTAATAAGGGCCTTACCCAGGTAGTTTGCTCAGCTAGTATGTCCTCGGTGACTCTTTTAGTTTCCTTGATGAAATCTTTGACTTGTGCTGTCCTGGGTTATGCACAAAATAAGGTAGGTTCAGGAAGCAGGAAAGAGAAGAAATAGGCATGGGTACATAGAGACTCATAAAGAAGAATCTCTGTGGCTGAATAAAAAAGTCTGGGTCTCTGTTTTCCCCAGTGTATTAATTACAGTCAGTGAGCAGGCTTTTCCAAGTGTATTAAGCTTGGACAGAGTAATTTATCATGCCAGTTTTGGTGAGCAAGAGGTGGGCCATGGTGCAGAGAGCAGGACGCAGATCTCTCTCACACCACAGCTATTCCACCTGCTTTATCCAAGACTGGTGTCAGAGGAAAGTGAGAAGCAGCAAGGGTGAAAAGAGAAAAGACCAAGATAGACTTGTTATCCTTCACAAAGGGAGACAGTGGTGAGAAAGTGCTTTATGAGTAATACGATAGAGCTCTGTTTCCCCATGTTTTATGGAGAGCTACCTGCCTTCTGAACTTAGGGGTGTGGGTATGGGTTGGGGGCAGGAGGGAGGTGTAAAGGAGAGAGGGACAGAAGAAAAGATGAGTGTCTTAGTGAATCAATGAATGGTTTATGTTGATCTTAGACCATAGGTGAAAAATTCCATTCCTGAAAGCTGTTTTCAACAACTTTTGATGGAAGGGCAGAGAAATCTCAACCAGGATGGTTCCTATATATTTGACATTTGAAGGGAAACTTCATCATGCCTGAAAACCCCTGATTTATTTCTTCTGCACATAGCTCAGATCCTACCTTCTGAATTCTCCTGTAATCCACAGTTACCCTTGTGTCGCGTCTCTGGCACTGTTTTGTTATCATCTTGCTGACCATGCCTGTGGCAGGAGAGCACCAGGTGACTGGAGTGTAATGTCAAGAAATTCTGGTTCACTAGATGCTGTGGCACATAGATGCTGTTCTACCTATATTGCATGCATCTGCCATCTTAGTGATAGTCTCATTTATGATCAACAAGCATTTATTAAGTGCCTAATGTGTGCCAGGCAATGTCCTGAGACAAGGAGATTCAAAAAGAAAGCATTCTCTGCCCTCAAGGAACTCATATTGTACTAGACAGTATGTAATTTGTCACATATATGGATACTAAGTGAGAAAAAATTATATTAATCAACAAGCATTTATGAAGCTTGTGTACTAGGTATAAAAATGATAAAAAACAAAACAATCCCTTCACTCAAGGAACTTTCATTCTATCAGGGAACTAACATGACAGATGGATAGATAGATAGATAGATAGATAGATAGATAGATAGATAGATAGATAGATGGATAGATAGATACATAGATAGATAATTGTGAGGGAAAGAGTGTCTGCATTTTAGAACTATGGGCTGAAAAGCTGTGTACTGGGCCAAAGCCAGAGAAAAATCTCTATCTTTGTTCCATGCCACTAGCCAGAATTATTTTCATTTGCAGATGAACCAATTGGAGAGAGACCGAAGAAGCAGCATTGCATAAAGCAGGATCTCTAAATTTCTTTGATCATACACTCTCAAAAATTTTTTGAGCAAGCACCCTCACTGTGTATAGATGTACTTACTTGTAAATTATATACATGTACCACAGTACTAATAATTATGTACATTGTTTAAAATATACAAAAATAGAAGTTTTAAAAGTATGAGATGAGGATGAAATAATACTTGATCCTAAAATCAATAGGGAATCAGTGGAGGTTATTCTGTAAGAAAGCAACCTACTCAGAACTATGCTTTAGGAAAATCACTTTGGCAGTATGTCCAAGATGAACTAGAGTGGGGAAAGACTTAAGGCAAGAAGGCTAGTAAGAATGTCATTACAATAATTTAGGCAAGAGTTGATGAGCCTCTGGATAAGGTGTGGTGTCTGGA